GGTCTGGATGAGTACCATGTTCCCGGCTACCATAACAATGCAACCACACGTTTCCTACACGTTGGCTTATTGAGAGCGGTCTATAATTAAAATAGGGTGGCCATTTCAAAAGTCAGTGCAGTGCACATTAAAATTTTCCGTTGGCTTAAGAATTTCTCTGCATGAGTCAGGCGGTTTCATTTATAAAATCAATCTAACGATTCGTTTTGGGCTACAAACACCCTTCCAGTTTCACATGATTCTCCCCATACCATAGTATTGTAAGATACGAGGTCTGTAACTTAAATAATGAGATTGGCAACCTAGCGTTTGGTCTGGCAACAATGGATACGACGGGCTTGGTGGGGAGACATGAAAACATGTTTTTGTGGAACAGTTTTCCCTATTGTATTCTAAAAATGGGTGACATCAACTTCGAGCAACGGTTTTCTATCAGGTTTTGCTTCAGACTTGGGCACAGTGCAACGAAAACTCTTGCTAAGCAGGCCTATGGAGATAGTGCCAAGATGTATCGTGGAACCTTGATGCTTAAGTCAGTCAATCAGTCTGTCTGATCTGTCATGTTTGGAGAGCCATAAACCAGGCATTGTCAGTGGACGACAGGAGAAAAAGAAAGAAACGGAAGAATCGAAAATATCAAACGGAAAGAAAAAGTGCATGGGCGTTTAATTTCATTTTGAAGTAATTTTGATATCAGCATGACAGAGTCACATGCCATACAGCGTGCGGCTCAAATGATTCCTTGAAGAAAACATTATTATATGTTAGTATAAAAAACTGCATAAATACAGGAAATCATTTACTTTTGTGTGTGATAATGGCGTTAAATGCTACCTTGTGTGCCTTTGTTCTCACTCAAATCTTTATAACATTTGAATTCAATTCACGTAGTATATACAGTGCTTTTCAGAAAGGACTCCCCTATTTATTTTACGTTTAACTCGCAGTGCTGAAATTGGTGCATGAATATTATATTTTAAGGCAAAAATGATTTGAAGATGACGGCTGAGCACCGTATTGTAATACTTTTTTTTATATACTCCAACTACCACGAAGGCCTGAGGTCTAAACACGCATGGTACCGTGGGGCTATAGGGGGATACAGGGGAAACGGGAAACGCCACACGGACTCTGGCGAGGGAACACGTGTGCATGCAACATGCACACATTCTGGCCCCGCCTACGAGATCCGCCGGGTGGTACCTCTCCGTTCGACAGTCAGGGATCGTCTACCACCTACGGACAATCACAACATCCATAGCCAAGAGAAAAATTTCTCTTGAGACGGGATTCGAACCCGCACAGCACACGGCACGAGACCGAAGCGTCTACTACTGCGGCCACCGCTGCAGCCTCGGAACTAAAAAGAGCAAGAAACCTTATGTTTAAGATCATGGCCTTTATTATGGACACCAAGGTCATTTACAGATCAAATGAATTTTCAACGTAAAACATCTATTTTTAATTCCTGAAATTCAAATTGCGGACAATGACCTTCAAGGTCATTTTAAGAACAGATAAATTTTCAAGAGAAGTAATTATTTAATTGTTGCATTGAAACGTTGAAAATTTTAATGGAATAGAGGCTATGTATGGATCTTCTTTACAAACATTCATCCGAATCTGCAATCAAATTCAAAAATAAATAGATTGAAATAACATACTATAGCGTTTTGATAAAGTGCTCATAAAAAGAGGTTCCACATGACGCTCTATTCCATTTAAAAAATATTCCAAAATGGCGCCCAGCCTCCTCTTGAAATTTTCAACTGCCACTGTGGCGCTAAAATATCTGTACCTCACAGTCCGACTAGGTTAAGTCGAAAAAGTAACTTTGACATATTTTAACTATATTGTATGTACGCGATATATCATGATTTATTGCTAGTAGCAAATGAAAACTCATAATATTATTATGAACTTAACAAATTAAGCACAGTTTAGGCAAAAATGGACATAACATGCCTGGCTTTGAGGTACAGATATCGTATTCATGCATCAATTTCATTATCCCTAATTTCAGGCCGTTCAAAAAATATGTAGGTGATGTGGTGTTTTTGAAACGTACTGTGTATTAAGGAAAGGGTACCACCAAGAACTTACTATCAACGTATAATAGACATACTTGTCATTTTACCGAAATGCGCAAGCATGCATTCATGAATCGGACAAAAAGTGATTGTCGTGAATGACCACCCAAATTTGAAATTTCATTATAGATATTTTTGTATCATTACATTATCGACTTGGGTGACGTAAACTACCCTTCATATCATACCTATTCTATCAAACAGATCCACCATCCCTCTGAAAATGAACGTCGCACCTTTGTTCGTTTCAGGTGGTACCACTTTCACTTTTCACGAATCGGTCGAACAGGTCCAACAACACTCTGCCACTGGCGGAGTAATGCTGTTAATGGATCCGCGACTCTCTTGACATACCTACATTTTATTTCGACCGTGCCATAATTCTACCTTCATTAGTGTGCGATCAAGCGAAATTACGTCACCCTTGCCCCCCGTTTCAGTATTCGCTTACCAGGAGAAGTCGAGAAATAGAGTAACGTGCCCAAAGGCTTATGTTATGATTGAAAAAGTAATAATCGTAGCAACAAGTGTGTTTTAAAAGCATGTGAGATTTACGTTGTGATGTTAAGCGTTTGATACGGTTAACCATGACATTCTTCTGTCCAAATTAAAACACTACGGACTTTCTGATGTTCCTCTTTGTTTTTTTAAATAATATTTGGACAATCGCAAGCAACGAGTAAGCCAAGGCGTTTCTGCTAGTGCTGATGTTGCTTCTAGTGTTCCACAAGGATCCCTACTTGGTCCCTATACTGCCGACTTGAATACTGTTAAACACTGTCGAATATAGACCCAAATGACTTTCACTTTTGGCTCAATTAATCTTGATCAAGTATCGTTTAACATTAACTTAGACATAGTACATTATTAACTATTGCAAGGTTAGCTGTTTGAAGCTGAAACCTACCAAGAGTTTTGCAATGTTATTCTGTTCGAAATTGAAAATGAACTACACAAGAATAGTGGATAGTAGATTTAGGCAACTGAAAAGGGTCCGAATTGTGCGATTAAATCTAAATCTTGCTTAACCAGCGACACTTTAATCAAACATCCAAGTGAACCAATATTCTTATGAGAAAAGTGTACTTAAGGTCTTGGACATGCTTTGCAACACTGTTCTTACAAGCTTAAAGTCTGGCCTGAAATACTGATTTTGGTAGTTGCTACCAAGACAAAAATTATACAATTTTGGAAATTTCTGGAATTTTAGGATTCTCTTAAATGACAGAATTTGTACATTTAGTATTCCCTGGAGTATACAGTTATTTATAGAACATGCTAATTACAAAAAAGGTTGCCGTGCTGATAATAAGTACAATGTAGATAATGCACAGGGCCGTAATTTCGCATTAATGGAGCAATTTGTATTGTTCTAATGGCCTATTATTTTCATGCAATAATGCATAAAGGAACCGTTAAAAAGATGTTATTGCAGTATTTAATGTAGTCGAGAGCTAAGATTATGCCATTAATGATTTTGGGCATATATTTATGAAAGATTTGCGACGTTGTATATATACAATAGTCATAGTCCGATGGTTTTGGATTTGTCTATTATATTTCTTTCATGAAAATAATGGAGACCAAAATGTTACGGTGAATAAACCTTAGACCATGTGTAGATTAGGGAATAGTAGCTGGCAATTCTGATTCAGAAGGTCCCAGGTTTTCAGGAAGTTTGATCGGATTGAAAATCCAGAACAGGAAAACCTTGTCCCAATTATTTTATCACTTTTGGGACCAGGTATAAGTAGACTTCTTAATGAAAATATGAATCTAAATTAACGAACCCACAATATTTTGTAGTACTTGGAGGCCCTATCATGAGGCACATGGATACTATTGTTCTACGTGCTGAGATCAGAGAGATTACACTGGAAAAAAGACGTCATGTAGATTGACTCTATACTTCGAAACAAGTTGTGGGTCCTGAAAGCTTGCACTTTCTTTTATAGAGCGCATAGGTCATTCAATAATAAGCAAGTCTTCCTAGTAACACATATACCAAAGCCTTAAGATAACAGCTATTAAATTCAGAAAAACTATAAATGGATCAGCCCGGCCCTCCATCCCATCCTTCTCCTCCCCCTTCTCCTCCTTTGTTTTCTTCCCTACCTACTCCTCCACCCTCCTCCTCCATTAAAAGGAATGATGTTTTGTGGTACTATGTGAGACAGTATCCAAATCAGGTGTCGCGCGGTGTGTAAGTTAATCTAGCTTATAAACACGTTGCATTTGGAATACCGAAATTGGCACATTCCTGCAACAATAACGTAGTTATCAATTTAATGTTGGATTGATATATTATGCGTCTCAAAAATCCTATCCATACTTGGGAAGTGTATTCAAAACTTCATCATCGATGTTTCTATCGGAGCTTGTTTATATCGTTGAAAAGCATCCTGGGTGGACACAGTAGAAGACCTGGGGAGCCCCAAATGCTTCAAGCTCGCTTTATTGCTCGAACAATGACAACTTCAAGCACTATTCACAAAAAAAACATGTGACAGTGCAGTACTTGAAATTCCTTACCAAATGAATAGTGAGTATCTTTTCCTTTTTACGTTGTCGATGCTGATTTAACGCAAATTAGCTTTGTTATTCTTTCAGGACACCCTATTTATTCTGACAAACGGACAGATCGATGGAAATGCGTGACATGATGTTTCGATGTGTACATGTCGCATAACATCCAAAAAACATATTTTATTTTTGCGATTACAATACTTCCCTGCCAGTAGGGTGGGAAGTAAGAACAGAACATCTCATTTTCGCGATTACAATACTTCCTCCCCGGTCCGGTGGGTAGTTGAAATGGCTTTAAGCCATACTCCATAAAGTTTGTGCAGGGTTTTTCCTACGAAACTCCATTACGGAGAAACCTCCCAAAAGGACTGGACCTATTCATTATTTTCCAGGTCAATAAGTTAATGGTCTTTATTTGAACGGTATCAATAAATTACATCACAGCTCATACTACTTTAATGTTGAGACACATACAAAAAAGACGGAATCACCATAACCTGCATTTCTTCGTTGGATTCATATTGGTACCAGCTGGACACTGAAATGCCTCTGCAAACTCCGGCACGTTCGAAACGACTCCATTTACTCTCCATTTTGAGGTAGAGTGTTCGTTACTCTTCATTTTGTTCAGATACTCGCTTGAAGGGTTGTTGCACCACATCTACAACGAAAAAGATATCATATGTACGAAGTTTGTAAATTAAGTAATGAGATCGGCAACGTAGCGTTCGATCTGGCAACACTGGACGCGCCGACCTTAGTGGGGAGACAGGAAAACATGTGATCTGCCTTCAGTACAAATTTTAACTCGCTCGAGCTATTTGATTGTCCGATTTTTTTTGTGAAACAGTTTTTCCCAGTGTGTTCTAAAAATGAGCGACATCAACTGCGAGTAACGGTGTGCTTTCAAGTATTGCTTCAGACCGCCGGTTGACAGTCACAATGATCGATCAAGAGTTCAATTTGACTCACACCACCGTCCATCAGATCAAAAACAACTGGGTCTTGCATCACGATAATGCTATTTGTCACACAGCAACGTCAATACACGAGTTTTTGGCCAGTAAAAACATTCATGTCGCTCCTCAGCCTCCTTATTCGCCCGACTTGAGTCCTCGTGACTTATTTATCTTCCAGAAGTTATAAAATTACCTCAAGGAAACTCATTTTGGAACAGTCGAAAACATTGAAATTGCTGTAACCGACCAGCTGAAGTCTATTCCAGTATCGGAGTTCCAGCAGTGCTATGAGGAGTGGAAGAACCCTCTCCAGCGCTGCGCTGTGTGGCTTCAGAAGGAAGTTAGTTACCTTTAGGGCGACAATATAAAATTGTAATTATATTTGACTAAAAAAAATTAAAAAATCAGTCTCATCACTTAATTTACAGATATCGTATAAACACATCATAGGCTGAATCGAATATGTAACGCTTTTCGTTTCAGTAACTATGACCAACCGCATACAACGTCGCTTGGTGCTTATTAGCAGTCATCGGTACCGTGTGATTCCGGGTGTTATTGCTGGAATCCACTCCTACCCCTTGACGGTCAAGAAAACGGGCCAGTAGGGGGCACATCACAACCCCTGCCCCTCACCTTGGAGAGGGGGGGTTGTGTCAAGGGGAAGGCAGTATCAGCTACAAACAAAGCTGGAGGAGTGTGTGATGAAGAGCGCCAGTGACTTAAGACGGTTTAAGCCACAAAACCCCGAGGTGTTAATCGGAACTTGTTTTGGCTGACCGCCCACATAAAAGAAAAGAATCTCACGGCAATAAAAACCTAATTAATTGTACACAGAGAGCCAAATAAAACAAGATATTAAAAAAAATCGCAATATGCCGAAGTTTATGATTCCATAAGGAAAATGGACGGGGTAGCACCCAAACCAAAACAGCTAAACGTAAACAATATGAAAAACTGTTGTTTGGCACCTAATATCTCAGAATCTGGAGGTTAAACAAATGGCGCTCACACCACAATCTCAGGAGGAAAATGACTTACAGGAAACACCTAACTTTATAAAGGGGCGTTACTTAATAATAGGCCGTAACTACAAATTTGAGGTAAAAAAGCTCATATAAGTATGTATCCTACAAAGTCTGGTTTTCAAGATACAGGGTGGCGAAGTTTTATATTTTTTGTTATTAACATCTCAAAGATCCTTGTGTCTCTTTTTTCGACTTTTGGCATAGTTGGTCATTGTAATAAGACGCTAAGATACCACCAACTACAGGCTAATTATGAGTTCCAGTGGCCTCTCGGGGGACATTTTCATGAATAATATTGACAAAAAGTATACGACAGTCATTTCAAAAAATTGAGTTTTTGTATTATGCAGCTACAACTTATTTGTTTCTTTGTATCACCTCGTATATAACTTCGCTTTAGAGAAAAAACAACAATCAAACTTATTATCTGTCAAAAATTGTTAAAATATATGTTTTGTAAATATCTTGTCAAATTGTTGTAACTTTCCCTTCCTTACATTTAGCCCTTTAAGGCAACACAAAACTTTAACAAAACTGTACAAATATTCTATAATAGATAAAAATTTGGACTCAGTTCATTGAAATAGTATCCTGTAGCATGACAAAAAGTTTCTGATTCTACTGTACGCAGTAGATGGAAAAGTTTTGGAAATTTTTTGATTTTCGATTTTTTTGCTACGGTCCTGTATGATATATAGAAAAAGGTAGCTGAGACAATAATTTCGTACCTATGCTCGTTTAGTTTATACCAATTTCCTTAGAGCTCTCATTAGTCATAGATAAGCGTAGCTGAGTACAAAAAACGATTCCACTGGTCAGGGGTCGTAATATTATTTCGGGGAAATATCATTTCCGGACAATTCGGCATTGTTAAACCTTATTTAAATGTTATTTGCATCGCGTTAGGTCAAATAGGATCTCTCGAACTCGATCATCAAATTCTTAGGCTGCTATGTCAGTAGTCACACGCGACAATCGTTTATACAGGGTGTTCCGTAATGATATGTGAATATTTAAGGGTGTGAATCTACATGACAAATTGATGTTAGTTCGCTTTATAAACTAGGGTCCAAAAATGTTTCCTTACAAACATTTGGGGTGTTGAAGTTTTAGTACAAAAATGGGAATTAATTAATATTTTCAGAACCGTTTCAGATATTTCACTGATATTTAGTACGTAGTGAAAGTTAATAACGTTGCATATTTTTCAATGCAAAAATTATTTTTAGCTTTAACAGTGGCGTGCGTACGGGTATTGACTTCGATATTTTTTAATAAAAAAATGGTACGCCAACGGTTTTTTGCCAAATAAAAATTATTTTTCAATTCATCGTTCAATTTAAAACAAATGATCTTTCTTGACTTGTTTTCCTTCGATGCGCCATTTTTGAGTAAACAAATAAAGACCGGTCTATTGTCAGAGAAAATTAATGTAATAATTGAAGAATGCAATAAATATATAGTTGCGCTGGAATATGTCACTGGCTTTTAACATCTGACACGTCTTTGTTATTCAAATCTGTTCGCTGTGACATCTTTTCCATTATTTAGTTTTTACAATCTTGTTAATAATGGTGAATTATTCAAATGCGGAAATGGCGGAAATGCATTACGTATATGGCCTGGCCGACGGTAATGGTGAACAAGCCAGGCGGATTTATCACCAGAGATATCCCGATCGTGCTTTGCCAGATAGTCGAACCTTTTCTAATATTCGTCGTCTTGTTGAACCTGGTTCTGTCCGAAAAGGAACATCTGAAGGTAAACCTCTAAGAGTGCGAACACCTGAAACTGAGGAAGCAGTGCTGCACGAAGTCGAAGAACATCCTGAAACGAGTACGAGGAAGATCGCTAGACAGTTAAATATTTGCCATCAAATTGTTTGGAGAATTTTAGTGGATTTTTTGTTATATCATTACCATATTTTAAGAGTGCAAGCATTACTTCCCATTGAGTTCTCAAGGCGTGTGACCTTTTTTCAGTGGTATCTTCAAAAAATTACACTAAATCCGCAATTTGAATCAATGGTTCTGTTCACGGACGAAGCTAATTTTTCTCGGAAAGCCATTCAGAATTTCCACAATAATCATTTGTGGACAGAAGAAAATCCCTATGCCGTAACCGAAACCCATTTCCAACACCAATTTTCGGTTAACGTATGGGCAGGAATTATTGGCAACCACTTTATTGGATCATTCTTCCTGCCGGGACGACTTGACGGACAGACTTACCTCACTTTTCTTCAACAACAGTTGCCTTTGCTGCTTGATGATGTTCCGTTAGTAATAAGAAACAATATGTGGTACATGCATGATGGATTGGCCGCGGTGGGCCCCAAGAATGGCCACCAAGGTCCCCAGACCTCAACAGTTTAGATTTCTTTTTGTAGGGCTATCTTAAGACACTAGTGTGATTAAGACTGTAGAGGAATTAAGAGAAAGAATAGTTGCAGCTTGTGATAGAATAAAAAATAGTACAGGGATATTTCAACCAGTGCGCAATTCCATGAGAAGGAGGCGGTAGCATGCATACTAAATGAAGGGAGCCATTATCAACAATTTTTGTCATCATTTCGTTGGTTTTAATATTAAGTTTATGTTGTGAGTTGTTGTTGTTCATTACCCCTAATGTGTTTATTTTTTCCAATTAAATTAATAATAATTTTGCAAGTTAGACAATAGAACGCTTTTTATTTTTTTACTCAAAAATAGCGCATCGAAAGAAAACAATTCAAGAGAGATAATTTGTTTCAAATTGAACGGGGAATTCAAAAAAAAAATTTATTGGCCAAAAACCATTTTCTTAAAAAATTTCTAATTCAATACCTGTTCGCATGCATTGAAAAATATGGAACTTTATTAACTTTCACTACGTACTAAATATCAGTGACATATCTGAAGCGGTTCTGAAAATATTAATAACTTTCAATTTTTTTCCTAAAAATTCAACACCCCGAGGTTTTGTAAGGAAACGTTTTTGGACCATAGTTTATCAAGCAAACTAACATTAATTTTTCATCTAGAGACACACCCTTAAATATTCGCATATCATTTTGACGCTGCGTAAATATCATTTGCCTATACTACATTAATACCTTCAAATATTAGTGACTACCATTTATGGACTATAAAAAATGAAAAGTTACTTCTGGTTTCTGGTAGGAATTGAATTCGGTTTCTTTAGACTAGACTACGAAGCAGAGGCTCTACCACACTACACCAGAATAACTGACAGCCGCCAGCTTTCAAAACCGGTAATTATTTCTGGATCCATCCTCGAGAGCATTGTTTTTGGCTGTTATGTGCGTTTTTTTTTGTGTCGGCACTTTTTATTTCTACCTGTACCGTATTAACCCGGTAAGGGGAAAAACAATTTTTATTTTTTCTTCGGAAACGAAGCAAGACACGACGAAATACTAGGAGACAAAAAAGTTCGTTACCTGCTAAATTCGAAAAAATATAACTTTATTCAAACTTCAGTTGCGAACACTTTGTCAATATTTGTGAAACGCCACTGGGATACATAATTGTTTTCTAGTTAACTAGCATCTTATTGCAATGAATTACACTGTCAAAACTCGAGACATTGATGAAAAAAAAAGAAGTTTTTGTAAACTTTGATACCCTGTATCAAGGACTTTTTAGGACCTCTGTGGAAAGGACATGTGCGTCAGGATTTAACAATGCTTGGACAATTACGGTATACTTCTCCAAGGTATGTGATGCGCTGTGGTAGAGGACACAGCGTAATCACTTACTTGTATTTGAACATTAATAAACGCCTTCTCACGTTACCAAAGTGGAAGTAGAATTTCTACTGACTATAAATTAAATAATGATACCCTTTCTTATCTGTCTACCTATATGGATCTTGACCGCTTTTTGTTGAAAGGCTTAGCTTTACACACCATGTTCTTAAGGTTAGTATAAAGGCATGCAAATGCTGGTCTTTATTTTTAGAAATAGTAAGTGTTTTTCAATCAATTATCCTTGGTAAAATCAAATACAGAATATACCACAGTAGTATGGTCTCCTGAGTGCCAGTCTTATCAAGATGATTTAAACATAACTGAGTATTATAGAGCTGACATGTTAGAACATTTCCATTTACCTACACTTTCAAGATTATATTGGGGTTCACCGATTTCGAAACTTTTTTAACGTACCCCGTAGAACATTGCGTAATAGTAATCTGCTTGTGATTAAGTTACATCCGACAAATTATGGTCAACACTATCCACTAGCTAGAGCACTATTTTACATATTATATGTAATTTTATTTTGTAAAAATGAGGCCACCCGTAAATTTAGTAAATAAATAAAATTAATAATGTTCATTGATGACATTGATGATCAAATCCATTGGCCGACTCTCTTTGACCGTACAAACTTTTAATTCCTTTTATTTTCCCGACACTGTATCGTTGAGAAATTAATGCAAAGAATCGATTTTATCTATTAAAATGCAATTTTCTCTGACTTAGATTGACTAGGACCTAGAGGCAAGGATACTCCGGACCGCTTTGAGACACAATAACGAGTAATATTAAAAACTCATGATATGAAATTACTCACCGAACCAAATCCTATGAAGAAAAGCTGATCAGACGTAAAGTTATGTGATACATGAACTCCTCCTCGTTCTAGTAACTTCTTCATCGCTCTGTATGAACCTCTAACGCCACCATTGTCTGCTATGTTCTCATTCAAGGTAATTGTCGCATTTATCTGTAATAATCGTTTTAGAAGATTTGAAAGTATTTAAAAAAACTTCCGTCCATCCGATCACAGAGATCCAACCAAGGACACCTGATTCGTGCTTTTTGACAACTCATCAGCACGGTCTAGGCTTGGACTCAGGTGGGACAACTGAAGAAAGCTGAGTAACTATCTTTGATTCAGGGTATAAGGTCTATCGAAATAAAGCAGTACCAGAATCGACCACTGCTAGAGTGAAACAGCTGTCTGTTAGAACAGTATCCCAGTTCGCATTTGACAGCCGGTTCACTTCCTTGTGATGTCTTGTTTCGATAGAAGTATCTTAGTCACAAAGTATTGAGATGTGGCAACAGCAGCATAATCTCTGGATATACAGGGTGACGGGAAAATAGATGCGGAGCCGGTAGGCGGAGATAGTACAAGCCAATCTGAGTCGATTTTACTATAGGAGCTACTATCCGAAAATTAGCCGTTTTCGAATTATACTAATTTTTAAGATTTCATAAAATTAACGTCCTTTACACGTTAACCAAGTCATAAAACTTGAAAATTGGGTGTTTCATTTGATTTTTAATGGTTTTACAATAAAAATATTCTAAAATACGAAAATTGATACTCAAATGTACATTATTGACGTTATCTCATGCAGTAAGCTTCAAAATAGTTCGATTTTTGTTAAAAAAATCTTCGTTCATCTCAAAAGCTTCAGTTTACTAGAAGAAATTGCATACACATTTTTCGTACAAAATAATTAGAAAACATCTACGTTTCATTACCTTTCAAATGAGGTATACAAATCTCAAATCGATTAAGAATTGGCAAAAATATTACTATTATAAGAGGAGGAAGGAAAAAACAATAAAAATACTACACTTACAAAATCATACCTTATTACAGGATAATTTGTTTGAAATTACATTTTTTTATTTTTATAATACATTTTCAATATGGCGCCCTCTATTTCTAATGCACACACGTGCTCTTCTTAAGACAGCTGATCTTACTACCGCCGAATTCCTAAGAGAAGCTTGAATTTCTTGTGCTGCATGTATTATCCGGTTTCTGAGGTCTTCTATTGTGGGTACAGGATTTTGATCAGAGTATACTAAAGTTTTCATGTGACGCCACACAAAAAAGTCCATAGGTGTGAGATTGGGACTGCGTGCTGGCCATGCGATTGGTCCGCCTCTACCGATCCATCGATTCGGAAACTGCTCATTTAACCAATTTCTAACACTTAATCTGAAATGTGCTAGGCACCCGTCATGCTGAAAAATCATTCTGTATCTTGTGTGTAGCACGTCTTCAAGTAATTCAAATAGAACGTTTCTTAAGAAATTTTCGTAGGCTTCTCCATTTAAGTTGTCGGGTAGGAAATGTGGTCCTACCAAACAGTTATTTATAATGCCCATCCAGACATTCAGACAAAATCGCCTTTGAGATCCTTTTGGTCTCTTCATATGAGGATTTCCCACTGCACGTTCACGCCAATAGTGAGCGTTATGGTAGTTTGTTATACCGACTTTATCAAATTTTGATTCGTCGGTCCCTAGAATTTTTCTTAAATAATTGCTATTTCAACATCAGCGTTTAAAATAAAACGACAAAATTGCATGCGCCTCATGGGATCTCCTTCCTCCATGACGTGCTCAGGTGTGTAGTGGTAAGGGTGAAATATGTTTTCATGCAAAACATACCACACTTGCCATTGGGATAATCCAAGCCGTCGAGCCACAGCGCGAGTAGAGAGAGTAGGGTCTCATTGGAAAATATTTAATATTTCTTCTTCTTCTTCCACATCATGTCGAGGTCTACCTGCATCACCTGAAATAAAATGAGAAAACAAATAACAACCGTTTTTTGGAGGAAATTGTTACCTAATAAACATAGCGGTAAGACTATGAGCTAAAGTTGGCAAAATATTATTTAGAAAAGACGATACACAACGTGTGGATGTTTCTATCTTCAGAGCCGTGTAGATGCTCGTGTTAAAATTAAATTAATAAACTCTTAGTTAAGAAGTTCAATCAACTGCCCACAGACCTCCAAGGCTCTACATAGGCTTTACTGAATGACTGATTATAAGTTAATAATTATCAATGATGCAAACTTACCTTGATATCTTACGACGGTACAGCGCTCTCGAACCCGACGGAACGTTTGCCTAAATACGCTGGCGTCAGGTAGGCGACGATTAGGAAACATTTTCCCATACTCACGACGAGCTTCTTCAGCATTGCCTCTGGCATCTCCATAGTAGAAAAGGATATCGGCATATTCTTCGAAACTGAACGGCCGCCTCCTTTGTTCATCAGCCATTGTTCATCGATACGTAGATCAACGAACAATCAAGTCACACAGCAGCCAAGTTGTAAGGAATCGCAGAAAACAGGGTACATTCCAAGTCGTCAGGAAAATAATCACACACGGAAGTCCAACAAGAGCCAAGACGTTAGAAATATCAAAACAGCAAGCAAACAAACACATCCGAACGTAACAAATCGCAAGAGCAAATTGAAGCGAGGGAGGGAGGGGGGTGACTAGTCTTACTTATCACACTATTCCGGTGGCGAAGTCCGATGTTCGCGGCTCTACCTGTTTCTTTCACTCATATCTTTGTCATTTCCAAACCGGTTTGTGACTTTGATACCTCATTTGGAAGGTAATGAAACGTAGATATTTTAAAATTGTTTTGCACGAAAAATTTGTAGGTGATTGTTTCTAGTAAATTGAGTTTTTGAGATGAACTAAGATTTTTTTTAACAAAAATTGAACTATTTTGAAGCTTGATGCATGAGATAACGTCAATAATGTACATTCGAGTGTCAATTTTCGTATTTTAGAATATATTTATTGTAAAAAAAAAAACAAATGAAACACCCAATTTCCAAGTTTTATGACTTAGTTAACGTAGAAAGGACGTTAATTTTAAAATTAAAATTAGTATAATTCAAAAACGGCTAATTTTCGGACAGTAGTTCCTATAGTAAAATCGACTCAGAATGACTTGTACTCTCCCTCCACCGGCTCCGCATCCATTTTCCCGTCACCCTGTAGATGGGATAGCTTCCAGCCCAAAATTCAAAATTGTCACTTGTGATCCATCTACTTCCAATGTCCCATATTCTTTTATTTGGAAGTTCCAGCATGTGCTGGCACATGACGCGGTGCATGTTGCGGAGCAAATTTGTTGTAATGGAAACATACCTGACTGAATAAAGTCATGTCGGTGGTATTGTCAGGACAGATATGTTAAGCCGGATGTAGCTATTATAGAACATAGAGATTATCATAATCAACAAATTAAGACTAGATAAAAAGAACAAGTATAATGTTTACTTGTAACCAAATTTATGTAGTCAGTATTCTGGATTCAACTTCATACTACAAGTCGCTCAGGCTTAAGCCGCCAGATTGACAGTTGTTGACACTTCACATCAAATCCGTACTTTTCAGGGTAAACGTATAAAAGTGCATGGGTTCCATACAATCCTAGGCCCATATCGTCAGTCGTCCCTACAATTGTAGGGCACCTTTATGGCCTCCTTGATTGTCATAGTGTTCTACTTCTCCGTGTCAGCGCTCTATTTTGAGCTTATGTCACAAACATCTATTTGCATCAAATTGTGCTTGCTTTTGAGTTATATCATGTTTTATCAGCCTGAAATTTCCTGCAATTTGAAAAGAAAACATATCTTTACAATAGGAGAGCGCTGATGCTGACACGGGACAAGTTTAATCTAGAAATTTTTGAAGGAGAGAAAGCAGTATGACAATCAAGGATGCCATAAACGCGCACTACAATTGTAGGGACGACTGACGATACGGGCCCTAGTGTTCCAAAGAGTTCCAGAAAATGGTGAAGGTTTTTGTGGATCGCAAAAAGCAGTTTAAATGGAATATTAGAAAATCTTTTTATCGATAAGTCGCCGTTAATATATTTGTATACCTAAAAACAACATTGAAAAATGCAAAATATTGGACACAAGCCAAATTGGATGGATAATGAGAAGGACAAATCGAAAATTTAAATCAACTAAACTAAAATTTAACTCTATCTACTTTAATTTGCAATCCAAGAGGTCTTAGGAAAGATACTCCCGCATTATAAATAGCAATTTTACGATTTCATTTTAATGCCACAAGATTCCACTGAGGAAGCTCGGTAAGCCCAAAAAGAACTATGAATATCAAATTCATTAAAATACTTCCAAACCAGTTTATTGGATAAATATAGAGACAATGATATCAGAAATTCACATATTTTGCTCAAAAACGTATTTGCTTTTAGCAAAGGATCTGCACGGATCACAACTATTTAGAAAAACCGAGTAGAATCCATGAAACGTGTCCCACTATTTCCGATTTAAGGTATTCCGCCATTATTGCCGTTTGATGGAGATGATGTTTTGTGTTCACCTTCCAACATCACGAATTAAGCAGAATAATTTTTGATATTAATACAATATACAGGGTGTTCCTTAATGATATGCGAATATTTAAGGGTGTGAATCTACATGAAAAATTATTGTTAGTTTGCTTCATAAACTATAGTCTAAAAACTCGGGGTGTTGAAGTTTTAGGAAAAAAAAATGGAAATTAATTTATATTTTCAGAACGGCATCAGATATTTCACTGATATTTAGTACGTAGTGAAAGTTGATACAGTTGCATATTTTTCAAAGCACAAATAATTTTAAGCTTTAGCAGTGGCGTGAGTATGGGTACTGACTTCGATATTTTTCAAGAAAAAAATGGTACGCCAATGGTTTTTTGTCAAATAAAAAATTTTAATTCCCCGTTCAAATTAAAACAAATGATCTCTCTCGAGTTGCTTTCTTTCGATGCGCCGTTTTCAAGTAAATTAAAATAAATGATCTCTCTCGAGTTGCTTTCTTTCGATGCGCCGTTTTCGAGTAAAAAAATAAAAACCGTTCTATTGTCTAACTTGCAAAATTATTATTAATTTAATTGGAAAAATTAAACACATTAGGGGTAATGAACAACAACAACTGACAACATAAACATAACATTAAAACCAACGAAATGATTACAAAAATTGTTGAAAATGGCCCCCTTCACTTAGTATGCATGCTTCCGCCCTCCTTCCCATGGAATTTCGCACTCGTTGAATTATCCCTGGAGTGTTTTTTATTCTATCACAAGCTGCAACTATTCTTTCTCTTAATTCCTCTACAGTGTTAATGGGACTTGTGTACACTAGAGTCTTAAGATAGCTCCACAAAAAGAAATCTAAGCTGTTGAGGTCTGGGGACCTTGGTGGCCATTCTTGGGGCCCACCGCGGCCAATCCAACGATTTGGATAAACAGTTTGTAAATAATTACGAACCGCTACACTGAAATGCGCTGGTGCACCATCATGCATGTACCACATATTGTTTTTTATTACTAACGGAACATCATCAAGCAGCAAAGGCAACTGTTGTTGAAGAAAATTGAGGTAAGTCTGTCCGTCAAGTCGTCCCGGCAAGAAGAATGTGCATGTGAATGGCATTTCGAGAAAAATTAGCTTCGTCCGTGAACAGAACCATTGATTCAAATTGCGGATTTTGTGTAATTTTTTGAAGATACCACTGACAAAAGGTCACACGCCTTGGAAAATCAATGGGAAGTAATGCGTGTACTCTTAAAATATGGTAAGGATATAACAAAAAATCCACTAAAATTCTCCAAAGAATTTGATGGCAAATATTTAAATGTCTAGCGATATTCCTCGTACTCGTTTCAGGATGTTCTTCGACTTCGTTCAGCGCTGCCTCCTCAATTTCAGGTGTTTTCACACTCAGAAGTCTACCTTCAGATGATCCTTTTCGGACAGAACCAGTTTCAACAAGACGACGATGAATATTAGAAAAGGTTCGACTATCTGGCAAAGCACGATCGGGATATCTCTGGTGATAAATCCGTCTGGCTTGCACACCATTACCGTCGGCAAGGTCATATACGTAATGCATTTCCGCCATTTCTGCATTTGAATAATTCAGCATTATTAACAAGATTGTAAAAACTAAATAATGAAAAAGATGTCACAGCGAACAGATTTGAATGACAGAGACTTGTCAGATGTCAAAAGCCAGTGACATATTCCAGAGCAACTAGATATTTATTGCTAAATTGGATTCTTCAATTATTACATTAATTTTCTCGGACAATGGAACGGTTTTTATTTTTTTATTCAAAAATGGCGCGTCGAAGGAAAGCAACTCAGATCATTTGTTTTAAATTGAACTGGAAATACAAAAATAATTTTTATTTGGCAAAAAACCGTTGACGTACTATTTTTTTCTTGAAAAATAATCGAAGTCAATACCCGTACGCACGTCGCTGTTAAAGCTAAAAATTATTTTTGCATTGAAAAATATGCAACTTTATTAACTTTCACTACGTACATCAGTGAAATATCTGAAGCGGTTCTGAAAATATTAATTCATTTCCATTTTTTCCTAAATCTTCAACACCCCGAGTTATTGTAAGGAAACATTTTTGGTCCACAGTTTATAAAGCATACTAACATTAATTTTTCATGTAGATTCGTACCTTTAAATATTCGCATATCATTAAGGAACACCCTGTATACTCGTATATAATGAATATTTACTTTCGTTTCTTTGCCGTATCTAATTTGTCTCTGTTTATTAACAATAACTGAGTGATTCACATTGCAGATAGTATTTCTGCCTTGCTCTACATCAGTACACCCAGTATGAATAGCTACTTAAATATCCTTTCCGGAGAAAAGAATATACGCCGATGTATTGGCTTGTCAATTTGGTAGGCAATGGTAGTCAAATCAGCCGAAAGTATGCGCCAAAGCTACACAATTTTGGCAACAAACAATGCAACGTACACATGTAATCCTATCTATTCGAATTCGTTGATAATAATCAATAATGGGTTACACATCTACCTGGGCTACGAAATAATAATATGTAATTGATTTCTTACATAAGAATCTGTCTGCGGCACATAGTATTTGCTATACTGTTCTACGAAACATCTTGATTTGTTATAAAAAGCAAGTCTAGTTTCTGGGGTCCACCAAGGTTCCATGCTGCCATCGGGATCATAATAAGCCCCCTGCATGTCAAATCCGTGAGTGATCTCATGGCCTATTATGCTGCCTATACGGGCATAATCCAAAATACTGAAAAAAATGAATGTTTTATAGTATTCTATGCCAAAGTTTATCATACTGGTCTCACCGACATACCTACTACTTGTCCCAAAGAATATTGGATTGAGAATTCCAACAGGAAAAACTGAAAAATGTCATAGTTTTAAAAGTAGTAGACAATATTTATTTTTTGTTAATAACTTACTGATTCTGTTATTAGCTCTGTTGTAATAAGCATTCACTTCAAATGGAGATTTGTCCCAGCTGAAAAAATATTTTTTATGTGTATGAGTGACACGAATCTAGGGCGTAAAGGAGGCGTTTATCGCAGGTCGCGTGAAATTAAACGCGATTCCGTGGGCTCTACAGTTGCATGCACACTGAAGCTAAGGGAAGCGAAGAGAACAGAAGAGAAAAGAGAAGGAAAGGAGATGAGATAAGAGTGGATAAACTTTTCCGCTAGGTTCCTCACACTGATCGACGCGAAGGGAAACGGCATGTGACGTTTGACTTATGTAAATAACAATTAGTCGTCCTCGCGGTTCTCTTCAAGTTGCTTCACCTCAGTGTGCGTGCAACTTAACACCCCAAAGAAACATAAGCCCTCATTACGCGCAATACACTACAACATTTCGTCTACGGTTGGCTATAGTGTGAGTGAAAAAATAGTTTAGCTTAAGTGGACATAAAATTGAGCAAATTGACCGCATTTTGTCACCGGATGACTACCGTTGCCTAGCAAAAAATGAATATGGGCAGTTCTCGTGGTCAAAAGAGCCTCAAGAGCAAAAACAAGTCCAAGTCCGTGGGTTGAAAAGTAGGACTTAACGCACGGGCAACCTATTCATCCATTTATTCACTTTACCCCCTGGTCGTATAAAAGCGCTTATTAAGCCCGAGGTATCTACAAAAATTTATCTACGGCTGGATACAGAGGTAAGTAAGAAGATTTAAAGTGGACTCCAGGTAGAAATCAAAATAAGTAGATTAATCGTACATACGCAAAGATATCTAGCAACGGAGTCGAAACTTCTTTTAGAAATGCGGCGGGTCCTTGAAGCTTTCCTTTACCAGCGTATATAATAAGCAAATTTTCTTAGTAACATGTATAGGAAAGCCTCAAGATAACCGAAATATCAAGATCCAAGGAAATCTAAATTAACCATCCAGGTCCTTCACAGGTACGTGTGTTAGGATTCAAATTGAGTGCGCAACGTTTTGTAGGTTAACTTAGCTGTTTATTCTCAAATCGGATGTGGAAGAACCGAATTTGCCACATACCTATAACAGTATCGAGGTTATCGAGTTGATATAAGCTTACAGTAAGTGTCTTTAAGATACTACTGATACTTCGCGAGGGTATTCAGATAGTTTTCCTGGGTGTTCCCATCCCGAACAGCTTAGGTCATTTGTTTAAGGTCAAAGTAGATACAGCAGAGGATCTCGAGAGCACCGAATGATGTAAATTAAAGATGACAAACTTAGACTTACGTAAGTGGACAAGTTCTCTTTATTCCTATTTGGCGGAAATGCTCAAAATGTAGAGGTAATTTTACAGTTCTCAATATATACTTACAATGCCCTATCTCTCTTCTCCATTTGAGATAACAGATACGCTAGTTTGAATGCGCGGATGCGTTTCATGTTCCCAAAATTGTCCCATTTACAAATTCTCAAGTTTTGATAAAATTTATTCAGCTTGCTTTGCTTCTCAGCCACCTTGGGATATGCCATTATTGTGAGGACGTTTCTCAGCTTTTTCAGCGCCAATTCCTTAGATTTATCGTCCATCCATGATGATTCTTTCAGGGTTTGTTCAAAAGAGCTTTGTAGATCTCTTATCATCTCAAGGGCCTGAAAACATGCGATGAGTTCATCTTTTGATGTTTTAATCGCTGGCTACAGCGAACCATGGACAGCTGTTTCGTGCTTTTTGGCAACTTATCAGCATGGTCTAGGCTTAGCAAAATATCCTCTATCCAAGGTATGAGATGGTCGATTCTGGAAATATATTGCGCTTTGCACTGCCTGGTTTCGAAGTGAGACGTCGATCCAGTTAAGGATACAAAAGCAAAATATTGTATTGGTTGCTATGAGAACTTGAAAATAATCAGAAAGAAAGTTTTTTGATGACTCTGAGTAGTTAACAACCTGTATGGCGTTTGAATGGTAAAATACATCTTTATTAGCCCATTTTATTGATTTTTAATTAACATTAAATCTGTAAGCAGCCATTCTATTGAAGTATATATTCAAAAATACTTGCATATCTAAAAAACGCTTCTTGGGTAAATGGAGTGTCTAGATCAAAAAATTCATCATCCTTCAAATGGGGCCTCAAGACTCTTAAGTATTTAGTCATACAGTGATATTCGAAATCAGCGTCAAAAATCCCCCAATATACCGAATTTCTCCCGCTTGTAACAAGAGAAAACGAAAATGGAAATTTTCTATAGGGAAACTATACTTGAAGTTTTCAAAAATTCTTCGAAATCCAAGCAGATTTTTACCTTTGTCAAAGAGTTCACATTAAAATGTCTCAGTTGATATTCATATGCGACTGCAAAACTAAGTCCAGCTGTTCCAACTGAATCTATGATTTTTCTTGTACAATACTTCTCCCTAAAAATGAAAGAATATTCAAATTATTATGACAAATCTTTTGTTTCATAACCATCGCAAAGATTAAAAAACACCAACCAACCGTATACAATGTTGTTTCATACTTATCAGTACAGTATAGGTCTAGTCGTTTGTAGACACATAACAAAAAGCAAATAAGCGGATGTATTAAGAAACTCAATATTGTGATGTGTGAAACACTGAAAAAACCGTAAAGCTTTTCAAATAAAAGTGAAACGGGTTACGACTTCTCTAATCTTTTGTTGTGAAACTTATATAAATAACTGGAGTTTTCAGTTGAGTGATGATGGTGTTAGTATAATCTAGTTAAATTTTGCTGTACTCAGTACAAATAGGAAAAATGTTGTATTTCACCTAGGAATGTTCGTGACGTTAATCTTGGTATAGTATTCCTCCAAAGCCTGCCTTGATTCTTGATCTCCATCTGGTGCCATGTATAACAGAGCCCTCGTCATGGCAAAGTCTTTAACCACACTTGGGTGAGTCAGTCTCACCAAATTTAGAATTCTGTACAGCATGGTATCTAAGCCAATGAACCGCATAACCTCGGTATCTTCAGTCATAGTGAGACCAGTAAATTTGAAAATACTTTCCACGTATTGTACCCAGTCTATCTAGAAAAAACAGTGTTTAGTAGGTTGCCTGGCTTGGATATGATTTAAAAATTTTATTTTGGCGGAATTCAACACTTTGTCATGAGACGTATGATGATGATGGCGTTCTGTTTGTATCAAGAACACAAATCAAAGTCTATTGGCGGACTCCTACTACATAAATATGAAGAGTTTGAATGAGATTAAAAAAAAATCCGAAAAATATTTTGTGCCAAAAGTTTAACGACATACGTTAGCTTAAATAATATTTATAGAGACGGTGACAAAGTTCAATCTCACCTTCACCTGCTGCCCAAAGTTTTGGGCAGTCCACTCATTGAGATCCTTCAAAGTAACTGTTGAGCTGTTCTTTAGGGGAATAATATTTTCATTTTCACTTGGATACTGTAACATAAAAAGTAACTCAGTAGTCCGTAGGGTGATGATCATGAGGGTCATGACCCTCCCTCCCTGGGCGAATCTAGTTTGACCATTAATATTTATGACTTTCGAATGTCTTTGATAAATCTATGAAATAAAGGTTGTTTGCAAATATGTAATGAATACAAACGTGTAAAAATACTAGATTTGGTGAATAAAAACCACACCAGGTAACCCTGATCGCGCAGTAATGATGGCTTGAAAAGAAGAGAGTTGCGAAAGTTTGGTTGCCTATACGTTCAGCTTGACGCAAGTATAAATAAAATGGTGATTCTGCATTTTCGGATTGGTAACACTGCATGTCCGTTAGTGCATTATTGCAAATTGAACCTCATGTGGTCGTTTGGACAGGAATATAAGAAAAAAACTTTTCACGCGCGCTTTTAACGATGTGAGTAAATTTGATAAAATACTTTTTTACGGACAAAATCAGAGAAAAAAGGTTTCATTTGATTGAAAGGAGATCGTAAATAGTGAGGATCATCGTCATATTATTGAAATCTCACTCTCTTCATATATCAGCTCAAAAACATATATTCTATTTCATACGTTTGACACTTTCAGGTTTCATTTGATTGAAAGGAGATCGTAAATAGTGAGGATCATCGTCATATTATTGAAATCTCACTCTCTTCATATATCAGCTCAAAAACATATATTCTATTTCATACGTTTGACACTTTTTTTTGTAACTTAGCAAGATGGTATTGTCTTAGTTTAGACATGTGCAGGGCGTTTCCCAAACATGGGACAAGAATTCAATAGGTAACTCTTGTTACTATTCTGAAACTATTGTATTTGACACTCTCTGTTTGCAAAACACCTCTTGATGAATGTTAAAAATACTCACCCCTCCAGCATATACACCCCTCATAAAATTAGCCATCTTTTGGATGTTGCTCTCTATGACCTCATCGCTAACCAAGCTTCTAGTCGCAGTTCTCATTTTATGTGCCAGTTGAGTTAAATATACGTCAAAAGGTGCCACAGATCGGGCTCTTCGGTAAGTACCTGCTCCACTCATTTCCATGAAGCTTTTTTCGATGATCTGCTCATGATTCAGTTCAAAGTGTGGCCTGAAGAGGGCAGGGTTTTCCATTGAATCCGTTTGAAACTATAAGTAGAAAATGAGTTAGAATAGCGAGCAGTGCTGTCAGATCTACCGTTTTTACGTTTTGGGTATTTATCTACCGTGCAACGCCTAATTTCTACCGCTTTTTACTTCACATATACGCACTCCCTAAGCATCCGCGCCTACCACTTTTTACAAGCTTTTATTTACCTAACTTGACTTGTTGGTACGTATGCATGTTTGTGTGGGACAAATCTTGAAAATGAATTTTGAACCAGTTAACTTTAACACCAATTCAGCTGAAATTTTAGATTCACGTTTGGTTGTCAAAATGAATCCCGCCATTTTGAATTCAATGTGGCGGGGGCTACAAAATGGCGATTTGCCATTCCCATATTGACCCTTACAACAAATAAAAGGGCTTGAAGAGAGAAATGCATACTAAAACCAGTATCGCTTCCACCGCAAAATGGCTATTTGTACATGAAGATGGTGACTGGGCATCATCTTGTAGCATTTTTTGTTTTAGGTAATTGAAATGGGGAATCTTATGATTTTGAAGCTTATTATCCTGGCAGACTGTTAGGCTGTCAAACTTTAGCATTTTCGTTAACTGAATAGCTCTTAATCCAACAACTAATCATCAAAGTAATTATAGTATACTAAGTGACATATAAATCCGAACACCCAGTTTAAATGGTTTTATTTTAATAAAATTTTGTATAAGTACTTAATGAAGCATAATAAGTAAATGATAAAAATTTCAAAATGATTGCACGGCTTTAAAGCCCTTTGACCTTTAATAATGTGTGGATGCACCCTGATGTGCTACGCATTCTCCAACGCGCCTAGGCATGCTTCTGATCAGGTGGTCAATGTCCTCGTGTGGTATCTCATTCCAGGCAACCACCAACTCCTCTCGAAGTGCTTCTAGAGTCTGAGGAGGACGTTGCAAATTGAGCAATCTCCTACCCATCATATCCCACACGTGCTCAATTGGGGATAAGTCGGGAGATCTTGGTGGCCATGGTAACAATGTGACATCATTATGTTGAAAGAAGTCTATTGTGACTCTTACCACATGTGGTCGGGCATTATCTTGTTGGAAAGTTGGATCTGCCAGGGTGTCAAGATAGGGTAAAAGATGGGGTTCTAGAACTTCGTTGATATAACGCTGCGCGTTCATGTTACCCCAAACCATAACTCCAACAGTGTGATGAACATGTCTTTCAACAAAAAACTGTGGATTGCTCCTTTCACCACGTCGCCTTCTAACCCTGGCACGACCATCGTGCATGCCTAAACAAAATCGAGACTCGTCACTAAAGACAATACTGTTCCATTCCTGATCCCAGAGTGACCGTTGTCTGCACCACTCAAGGCGATTACGTCGGTGTTCTCGAGTTAAAGGGAGGACCCAGTGTGGCCGGTATGTAAACAAGCCAAAACTTCTCATTCGTCGGTAAACACTTCGCATGCCAATAGGTCTTCCGTGTTCTGCAAACTATTCATTTGCAATGGACCTGGTAGAGGAGAAACGGTTCCTTAAGGCCAATAATCTTAGGCGGCGATCTTCACGGTCTGTTGTTCTACGGCGGCGTCCAGTGCCCCTTGCTCTTTGCGTACGGCCTTCTCGAAGCCATGCCTGACAACACCTAACCACAGTGTCTACACTTCTTTTCACTCTAACTGCAATTGCCCGAAAAGAAAGTCCAGCTTCCCGAAGTCCCACTATACGGCCCCTATCAAACTCACTAAGTTGACGAAATCGTACAGGTCTCCGTACTCTAGGCATCGTAACCGATCGTAAAGGATGTCAAGAACCAAAATCCGGCAACGTTGATTCTTTACTGCGGCTAAAATATTCATTTTTAGAGCATTAGTGAATTAAAAAAAAGCAGTATAAAAACCGGAATGTCCAACTGATAAGGCTGAACATTTTTTCACCTGTTATTTGCAGTAAGATAAATACATTCACCAACTTTTATTAAAATAAAACCATTTAAATTGGGTGTTTGGATTTATATATCACTTAGTATATTTCCCTTTAATCTTCTGATTAAGCAGTAAAATATGAGACGTTTAGTTTAAAAAAAAGACAGTTATTGACATTTTTTTGAACGGAATGTTTCTTATTTTACTTAATATCCGGATAGAGCCCGGGATTGAGCCTTCCAAGATAAGAAGATTTGCCAGTTCAAAAAATAAGTAGGCGGGGGGCCGTTTTGAAAAACACCGTTCATTGGCCTGAATTACATCCAGACCAGCTGTATCTTGTTTCTTACCATTATAACATTTTTTGTCGGATCATCAGCACTAGCATAAGCCTTAACTTCAAATATCATTTGCACCCCATATGTGCCAACAAATCTGCCTATATCGTCCCAACCGAAATTTACTTCATCCCTAGCACTGTCTGTCTGTACCATTGGGAAACCTCCCTCTTCTTCAACTATGGCCAGCTCTGGATGCTTGCGCTCATTAAGAAAATTTGAGTCCACGCATGCGTGGTATGCTGACTTCGCCTTTCTGAGGGCTTGAGGGTCTTCTGGTATGATTTGTGATGATAATATCACTAAAAACAAACTGAAAATCAATGACCAAGAAAATAGATCATCTAGTTAAATGCTTCTATTTGAATGATATGGTAACGAAAACACTGTTCTTACTATCCAAAGTCTATATTTTACTTATACACTAATTTCTAATACTAGTACTACTGCTTTCGCCATCTGATCGGGTATTTATTGCCCTATCTACGAGTCGAGAAACATTCCGTCATTTTCACGAACTTTCATGGAAGTGGTGTAGATGGCAGCAAATCCATCTCCAGTCGAATAATCGCAATGCGGTCGCGAACGGTCCTGAACGAGACCACGTTCCATATATTGTCGTGTAATTCTGGTTGTCCAAGGGTGGATCCTGCCCAGAGTTCCAGTTATACGAGGTTGCTGCAGTATTTTGTATACAATCAGACATAAGAGGTAAAGAGATCGCTCTTCTCCCCATCATATGCCACGCATGTTCAATGGGCGAATGACCTGGAGGCCTAGGAGGCCCAGGAAGGAGATTGATTTGACCGTTATTGTGGTATTGTGATATAGCAGTAGTACTATTGGGCCGGCCTTTATGTTGTTAGAACATAGTGTTTTCAAGCGTTTGTTGAAGTACAACAAAAAAAATCACCACCCGTGAGTTCATAAACGGTGTCATCTTTGAACCACGTTGAATTTTTTGTTAAAAAAATTATGATGCCATATTTTGTAATTATCCACCTGCTTTTTCAGATTTTTTGAGCAGTTTATACCTACATGGTTGTCAAGAACGAAAGAAAAATTAATTTGATTTCTCAAAAACTTCAAAAATAACACTGTGCATTTTCACATTCCTTGATTCCCATTTCCACAAGCTTTTCTGATATAAGATTTTTTGAGGTTTTGTACAATATTGCAATACCTTCAAACAAAAAATAGCATTTACGTAGTTAGTAACGGCAGATCGTTGCATCGTATGCAATAAAATCGAAAAATCAATAGCAGTTTTTAGCAAAACCAGTAATGCAAACCCACATAAGAATTATATCAGAAAAAAGCTCATGAAAAGGGAAATCAAAAAGTCCGAAAATATACAGGGTGTTCCATTTGAGAAATTTGAGTGATATTTTTGTTTGGGTTCTTGACTACCCTGTATAAGCTATCAAAAAAAAACTGAAAAAGTAAGTAGATAGGGACAAAATATATATTTTTTTTAAACGAAAAATTCAGTACTCTAGCCATAACTGTTGGGGAAGTGTGAGTTGTCAAAGTTGATTGTTCTTCTGTTTTCGATAGATTACCCAATATCACGACAATTTGAAAATGTGGTATGTTATATCTACAAATCTACACTGCTTTCCATTCAAAAAATGTATGTTAGAGTCATCACGTGGTTATGAATATATGTATATAGATAGATTGATACTTACGGTTAGCAATTTCTGTTATCTTGCTTTCTAGAAGGGTAAAATGGTCCACATTCATCTCCCCCTTATTTAAAGGATGGACGTTTTTGAAATTTCCGCAAGTGTATTCGTAAAAGTCATCACAGGGGTCTACACTCGTATTCATATATCTCGGAAATGCTTAAAAGTAAAAGTAATCTAAATGTTACGCAATATACATATATTATAGTAAGTAAATCCAAAATATTGGTAAAACTAAAAATCGTGAGAATCCTGCAGCCGATTTCTTTAATGTTTTTTAGAATTGAGTAGATATACTAAAGAAATACATAGTCAATAATGCTAAAATCTGCTAAACGGATTTAGACCTGGTCTTGACAATTTTTGGTTTGAATTCAGTTTTTATTGAATGATTTAGTTAAATTTCTTGAAACGTTTATCCCTGCTAATTAACAAAATCGGCTGAAGGGGTTTCAAGATTTTTTCGATAAAAGAATGATTATTAAAGGAGTTTTGAGTCTAGAAAACGAAACATTCCTGGATTTATGTTTCTTTATTTTTTTTCCACTCAAAGACGTTTGAACTCTTGCCAAATACTTTTTGTTTTTAAAGAAGAGATGTGCCGATACTTTTGGATCATCAGTTACATAGCACATAAGTGTATGCAGTATACGTATTGTGTATCATCATATTTGTAATAAAACTTAAAAGTTATTCAATTTATTTATAGAAACAATGTATATTTATAGAAATAATACAATCAATAACAAACATAGTTAACCATAGATTAGACTATCCATACAAAATATAAATCCTACGAGACATTCCTGCATTGTACTTTGATTGATTAGTTATAGCAATGGTTTTAGTTAAATCGTTTGTATGATCGATAGGAAAATTATTTAGTTGACGCAGCTGCTGGATTACATATTAGACCTGGGAAATATTTTTCGCTAGTCAATCCTCCTACATTATTTAAAGAGCAAAAAAGTTTGCCTTTGAGTACAGCACTCATATCTGGTAGCTACGTTCTTGTCTACACTGTCCGTACAAGATGCTGTTCAAACCACTTTCTCAACAAGTGTCGTTGGTTACAAGCATTTTCTATCGATACACCAACAGACTTCGTTCCTCTGAGATCTTCTCCATGATGCCGCCATCTTTTAGGTTTGCTAGATCAGTAGTAGTGGTGGGGAGGCAAAGTCTGGCAACTAGATCACCTTTGTCGGATTTTGTGAATTTTTTTCCAAAAAAAGCAGACATTTTTTTCAAAGTGCCTGCCTTGCCTTTTCAAGGCTTGTGGTTTCGGTAAGGTTTAGATGTTTTATGCATTTATGGTTTTTTTAGTTGGCAGGTCTTATTTCCGAAAAGTACATTAACTTGTTATACAATATTTGGTATATCATAATCCAAACCACAACTTTCAAGGTCGAATTTAACTTTCATACTTTTAAAAAATATAAAATAACTTTCTTCTCCTAGAAGCTGAACCGATCTAAATCAGAAAAATAAAAACTTCAAAGTGCCATAACTCAGCGAAATAAAAATATATTTGAGCAAACTAAATAGCATGTACCAAGTCTTGTGCGTTGAAAAGATTCCTATGATTTTTTGGAAAACAAGTACGAGATTCTCGCGAACCTTAGAGCTGATAGCTATGACGTGTCCGACGCATTGGATTATCTAGCTACCCAGCCCGCTAGATCAACTCGATAAGCCTCTGCTTCAAATTCCAACTAGATGTATCACTGTTCTTTCGTTAATAGAGTGTAAAATGAAACAATCTACCAAAGAGAACTTTCCCGATTGTACAAATCTTAGCCAGTACACAGATTGATTGAACAAGTCAGTCAAATCGACTCATTAATTACTCCATCGTTCTCACCTATGTGACAACGTCGCGATCTAGAAATTTCTCCCCTGCCCTACGTATCGCAGAAAATTTAATCAGGATTTTCACTTGCCTGAGACTAGCATCACTGACAAAAAATGGCGTCAAGTAGGTTGACTATGCACTTCCTAAGCAACGCCGTCATCAGTTCATAACGGATTAAGTTCAGCGCAATTTAAATCCTCTGGCCCATTCAACTAGTCCATAGACATTCTTTCACTACCCTACCCGTAGTTACTCTCCATCTGGCAACGTCATCCCTTTCCACATCTGAGCGGCCTCACTACAGCGAATTATCGTTCATTTCGTGCGGAGTCCGTGTATGTACATATTGCAGTACGAATAGATTAGTCAGCCGGACAGATTCGCTGGCCGGTGAGCTCAGATATCAGGAGTAAGCTTTAAAGACAAATGTATGGGGAAATCTAGGATGTATGAAATATGACAAATAGGAACATTGATTACCGGGGTTGGGAGAGTTTATACAGGGTGATATCTTTTTAATGAAGCTCTCGAGGAAAAAATGTTACATAGAAGACCCCCTTAAAATGCGGTTCTGTGTATGATGTTTCATTTTTCTGTAAAATAATCAATACCCTATGTTACGTCAAAAACCGAAGTTTGAGTGATTTTATTTTTTTTTTTTTTCGTTTTTGATTTTTTTGTCCGCCGCCACTGGACCGATTTCCAAGAACTATAAAGCTGTTTCGTCCTTGGCATAGTCGCAGCCTTGTGTGAACAGAGAGATAGAGTGATAGAAATGAGGGATATATATCATCCAGTAAACGCAATTTCTGATTTTACAAATTTTTCGCGATTACAATACTTGTTCGCCCAACGGCGTATGAAGTAAAAAAATCCACTTGGCATGTCATATCCGTCAGTTCTCGATGTACAGAGCTGAACTGACTTCGAGAGAGAAGCGTTCAAGAGAACAAACTCCTTTGACATATCGGTAGAAAATCACCGAAATTTAAAGACTTGTGGTCAGTGGCCCTATTTAGAGTAACCACTAGGTACTTACCATCATCCTCACGAAATAATCCAATGGGGCCAAAGCTGGCCACGATTCCTGCTATTAGAAAGTAAGACCACACTACTAATTTCTGCATCATATTCCCTTACTAGATTCGGAGTGATTACAATTAATCCGAAGTAAGTACCGATCGCTGGGTACAACTTATTTATTATAATCAATTATCATCTGTTTTACATTAGGATTTGCATGACACTTGTGATAAGATAAGCGACGGGACTTTTCAATAACTGCACAAATCAGTCGGTGAAAGATCAAAAGGGGAAGATATACAAAAAATGATAATGAACATCACTTGAAATGAATTCTTTAATCAGTGTTGGCCTCTAGGTAACACGAATACGAAGGCTAGATAACATTGATTAGTATATCATATTCCTCGGACAGACATTTGTATGTATTCAGTACTAATACATTAGCTAAATGTCTTCGAGTCGGGACGTTCATGATTTTTTTGAATACGGATCGCTCCGAAGCTTTATGACATTGGGCTATTCAAAAAATGTCAATTTTAGCCTGAGCACGTATTTAATGGATCAATAGTTTTTATACGACTAGCTTAGAAGAGGCATTCGGTATTGATTTCTTGTACACAATCTACACTGAGATCCAAATTTGTCTGACAGCTTGTTTCAATGTGTACCAGAGAGATCGTAGCCATCTGGATAGCAAAGGTCCTCACTGCGTTGCCTAGCAGCGCAGACGCGGCAATCTGTCGCGTTGTCAATATGTTACCCCAGTTCCTTGAATCAAGATGCATATTGAAAATATATGTTAGTTTGTTCTTTACGCCCAAATAATGGTTTTATTTTGAGGGTGCACATTTTTGAATTGTGAATTGTATCGAATCTGTCTCGGATTGATTCCCGGTCGGTCCAAACGGCACTCCATTTTAAGTCGAAATGAAAGGTCAGGATAGCCACAAATTCTGCAACATTGCATTATTGGTTCGTTTGATAATCATGCATCTTGTACATCCCAAAGCAATTTTTGGTCAATACCCATCTAGCGCTCGTAGAGGAGTGTCGTCCTGCTTCAAAATGGCTTTCACTTGCGTACACACAGGCAGTGATAATTTGTATTGCGTTACATTTGCGGTCGGAAAATGTAACAATAACATACCTCAAGATGTGTTGATTTTATCAACGCAGTGGAAAGCAATTCTAAAGTAGACTAAAACAGTAAGACGCATCAAAATTAAAATATGTATATTCTTATAAATTATATAAAGAAACGACAATATATTTTATCAATTATTCATTTATTACCATTCAAATATTTTTACAATTCACATTTAAAGCGTAATATCAGGATCCTCGCAACTCCAAGAAAAAATGTATTAACATGGAAATGTTTTTTGAAATACTTTATTTATTTAGAGTACGGATTGGGAAACCGTGCATATTAATACATTCATGAACAACACACTTTTAGAAATCAGATAACAATACGTACAAGATTTTTCAATTAAAATGCTTACTGATAGAATAAAACATATAAAGTAAGAGTCCAAAAATAGACCATACGAGTTTTCAAGCACACTGGATAAGGCTGTATGATTTGAGTATGATTTGACCCTTTTTAAGGACGTTGTTGTGATATATGAAATAATTTGATTTTTCGTTCAGCAGTACGGTATATTAAAAGAAGGATGAAGTGCTTGAGCAGCATTGAAAAATATAATCTTTCAAGATTATACGTGTACCACTAGAAGCGAGTGACTAAAAAGCGACAATATGTAGAAGGAGAGGAAAAAATAGTTGACATGAGAAAACAGTTCAGCTTGTAAAAAGACAATATATATTATCAATTTATAAAATATCTTATATATATATATATATTTGCGTGGAGTTGTAGCTTACCATCATATAGACTTGTGAGGTGTCTTGATAAATATGTATTTCATAAATTCAATTTAATTTTCAACGAAAATGGTCTAATACAGGTTAAGTATATCATACTCGTATAATAAAAAAATCGTATTTAATATTAAGGGAAATTCATAAGTAGATACGTATTTTCAAAATTGTAGAACCAGCTACCAAATAAACATGTACCAAGAATATTTAATTATGTATAATATATAGAATAATATAGGGCACAAAATTGCATCACAGCAATAAAAGTAGCATATCAGCAAATAGATATAGGAATTCTCTATAAATTTTTGGATTTATCAAAAAAAATACATTTATGGCAATAGAGTGACATTAACAATAAATATAATCTAGCTTACAAACATGAAATATATAATATTTTTAAGCGATATATAACATGCAACATTCTTAAATAATAATTAGTAACCAATGATGTCTTCGTCCTCATCATCATAGCTGTCTTCTGTGCCAGGTTCTCCCAGGGCGTTGACGAATTCTGAAAGAAATGGAAATGTTTGAGGTTACTCATTTGAAAGAAATGGAAATGTTTGAGGTTTCTCATTTCTAGTGAGGTTTTCGGAAGTTTCTGCTGTTTTTGTTAACTGCCTAAACTCTCAAAAACTGAAATTATATCGTTTTAAAAGGTATGTTGGTTTATACCCAATATATCATTAACTCAATGGCACAAACGACAATGACAATATTGCTTATGCAGATTATTTTCAAATTCCAAGCTAACTTACCATAGAAATCAATGCGTCCATCTCCATCCACGTCTACTTCCTTGATCATATCTTCAACTGTAAAAAGACGAATAATTTTGAGTGTCACCAGAACCATGGTGGGCGCATCATGTAAAATACAGCATTTTATACGCGAATAAAATTGTAATTGTGTACATCCCGATATTTATTGTAAGCAATGTATATACAGGGTATCCACAACGTTGGGGTTTTCCTTTTCAGACACAACTACGCTTGATGTAACAAAGTTAATGTGTGGTGAAACGTGAGCGAACAAGTAAAAAAAAAATGAAAAAGTACTCACTGTTCAATTGAATTGAAATTCCGGCTCTGTCGTAAAATCCGTATTTACATCGTAGTCGTACGACGTATAACTGTACGCTGGCGCTGGCGCTGTGGACGTGATCGAGTGATAGGACAGGACCGGCTTCGGTTTGGTTCATCTATGATTGAGTTTGCGGAGCCCAATATCTCGGTTCTCTTAAGACATTGGTGCTACTAAGAAAAACCGCTTATTTTCTCAAGGTCTACGCGTCGTGTAAAGGAAAACCGTAACTTTGCGGATACCCTGAATACAATAGCCACTAATAGTTCAAGTATTTCAAAGTTATAAACATATATCCCCATTATTTATAAGTACAAAGTTATAGTTTTAAGTGGATTAGGAACATTTTTAAGATAAAATACAGCGTTTTTCCTAGTTATCTAATAATTGTGATTCGTTTTTTTTTATATCGAAGCAGCCGCGCAGGCAGAAGCCTAAATGCCGGAACACCGCGGCTGCTATGATGATCCCAAAGAAATTTTATTAATACGATTTTTGAACTGCCTAAGGTTAATAGAACTGGGAAAAGCTTCCTCTTGTAGATTGTCCCACAATCTCGACACCCTAGGGACAAAGGAGCGGTCGTATTGGCCGGTTCTGGATGTACGAAGTTCGACACGGTTAGGATGGGACGCCAAAGTCAGGCGGGTCTGTCTGGCAGGCACATCGCGCGGCGGCATCATGGAAGAGAGCTCTGAGGAGCAAAGCCCGTTGGTGTAACGGTAGAAAAGAGCTAGATCGCCGACAGCCCGCCGGTGCGAAAGAGTCCCGGGACTGTCTGTTAGAGAAGAGTCATCGATCAGTCGGATCGCCCTCCTCTGGACAGCATCGAGCATGGACAATGTAGTCGGGGCGGCAGCACCCGAAACGTGTGAGCAATACTCGAGGCTAGGCCTTATCTGAGCCTTGTATAGAGTTAGAAGGTCATGTGGAAGTAGATACTGGTGCACTCTGGGCGCCCCCCACCACTTCCACTTTTTGGCCACGCCCACCACATCCACCGCGTGCTCTGATTGGCGGATCAAACGGCGGGAAATTTGAACGGGGTTGATGGTATATGTTGATTGGCGGGAACCGCTAGATCCACCGCGTGCTCTGATTGGTGGATCAGACGGCGGGAAGTTTGAACGGGTTGATGGTATATGTTGATTGGCGGGCCCCGTTAGATGGCGCACCCGACCGGAAGTGATTCAGACAGCCGACGATAGTAAGGTGTAGTATAACGTCTATGCGTAAGCGATGTGACTCATTTCATGTTTTGCGGTAAATATTTGCATATAGATCGATAAAAGCCCATGAATAATGATATTTATAGATGCAATTCTGCGGATTCAGTTTAAATGGAGAAACGTATAAAATTCGCGGGAAACAATGCGTATAGGATGATCTCAATAATCAACACGTCATATTCAGTGTGCATATAAAAATGGAATTGCTCATATATGTGGTGCATACAGTTAATGTTAGTTAATTTTTAACATTGATACAATATTGAAAACATAGTACAGTCTATATTGTGTATCTAATAAATTCAACAAGGTAATCACCTACGTCGCAAATGAGGTTAGGTTCAGGGCAGGTGTTGTCGTAGCGGTGATATGCAAGAAGTACCGGGCGGGGCTGTTAAGCATGGGTGAATGGGCAGGAAGCGCAGGCTGTCAACGAGTTAATACTGACCAACGATAACAGCGGTGACCTTGAAACACTGTGGTCAGTTAAAAAGTGGTGGGGGTAAAATCGAGATTATAAATACCTATGAATCACCGCAAATTATCTTGTCAGTTATCTGCAGCGAACAGACGTGCTCAGTTCAGATTTAGTCGCTAGTTAACGTTTTAGTTTTTAAAAAATGGAAAAATTCTTCATCGTTAAGGATTCTACTAAGAAGATTAAAAAATTTAATCTATATGGGCGAGAAGTGGAATTTAAAATACGACCTATCCCTAAAGACGTCGAACCTGTGGGATGGATCAAAGACGCTCTGGAGGAAATAGTAGCCAAAGGAACTGAACATCTCCAGCCCAGTGATCAACTTGGATTCACTTTCTGTTCCAAAGACTTTACCCGCGGTCAAGGATGGATAGCTTTTAAATTGTTTTCCGACGTTTCAACTGAGGACATATGGGAGAAGATATCTTCCATCTATCAGTCAAATTCTGTGGGGTTGAATACCGAGACTTTTTGCTTGGGTATTACGTCCGTAAGGTTGCCTGCTGGTCGTGGTAGAGCTCAGAATTTCAATACCTTTGATGAGGAATGCGCCAAAAGAAAAGGCATTATCACCGTTAAAAACACCGATAATTTGTGTCTCCCACGAGCCCTTGTCATCGCCATGGCCCATTTGAACAAAGACAAAGATTATAGCAGAATCCGCCGTGATCGAGGAAAAATACAAGGACAAAGAGCTGTACAACTTGTGGAAAAGGCTGATATTGTTATCCCTGAGGAGGGGAGTGGAATACCTGAACTTCAAAAGCTACAACGATATCTGCAAAACTACAAAATTGTTGTATACAAGTTTGGGTGCAAAGGTCGTGACGTCATTTTTGAAGGCGTGTCCGCTGGTCCGACGCTTAACCTAATATATCACGAGGGGCACTGCAGCGTCATAACATCCCTCACTGCTGCCTTTTGCTGCAGCTTTTTTTGTGAGAACTGCCACATTCCGTATAATACTAAACAAATTCATAGATGTGATAAACAATGTTATGCTTGTAAAAGATCTCCGGCCTGCCTGAAAACGAAGCACATCAAATGCAAAGAATGTAATAGAAGCTTTTATGGACAAGAATGTTTTAACGCTCATTTACCATCGGTCTGTTCTAAAATTAAAAGATGTGTAGACTGTTTTAAAGTTCACAACGGTAATGATCACATCTGCGGATATATACTTTGTAAAACATGTTATAAAAATCAACCAATTGAACATATGTGCTATATACAGCCTGACAGAAGTATTCCTAAATCAAATGATGTCTTATTAATATTTTACGATTTGGAAACCCGTCAGGAGAAGGAATTACCCAATGGATCTTTACTGCATGAGCCAAATCTATGTGTATTCAAACAATGTTGTGAATCATGTACCGATAATCCTATATGCAAGAAATGTGGCCTTCGATTACAGATTCTTCGATGTCAAGACGTCATTTCTCCATTTATGCATCATATTCTGACACTTCGTAAAAAATTCAAGAAAGTCATTGTACTGGCGCATAATGGTGGAGGATTTGATCATCAGTTTCTACTTCGTTACATTTTAGAGAAGACTAGTCTGTACCCGAATGTAATTATGAGAGGAACAAAATTAATATTGATGGAGGTAGGAAATGTAAAATTTCTGGATTCTCTCAATTATTTTCCTATGCCTCTAACTGCTCTACCCAAGGCGTTTGATTTGAAAGAGCTAAAGAAAGGATACTTTCCACATTTATTCAACACTTTGGCTCATCAGAATTATGTAGGGCCAATTCCAGCGCTCGACTTCTACGATCCCGACCATTTAAAGGAAGACGCTCGGGGAAAATTATTAAAATGGCATGGCGAAAGACAAGCGGAGGGATACGTTTTTGATTTTCAGAAAGAAATCGTTGAATACTGTATCTCCGATGTGGAAATATTGACACAGGCGTGTCTCAAATTTCGAGACCTGATGAAAACCGAAACCACAGTCGATCCCTTCCAGGAAAGCACCACTATTGCATCATGCTGTAACAAAGTCTTTAGACGCAATTTTTTAAAACCTGAGACGATCGGGGTAATTCCAAAAGGGGGCTATAGATGGCGTGAAAATCAGTCAAAAATTGCCATCCAATGGCTGTTGTGGGAGGAACATCAAAGAGGAATCAAAATTCAACACGCCGCTAAGGGTATAGAAACCATTGTTAAGGGACATAAAGTAGACGGTTTTTGTAGCGACACAAATCAAGTGTTTGAATTCCAAGGATGCTATTTTCACGGTTGCCCTCGATGTTTCAAATACAACAGAAGCAATCCTCTGCATAATGATCCGTTGAATACATTGGAAGGTCGATACGAACAATCAGTTAGCAAAGTAGAGAGACTCCGAAGCCTTGGACTAGAAGTAATTGAGATATGGGAATGTCAATTTCGAGGAATGCTAAACGATGAAATTAGAGCCTTCACAGAAGCACATCCATTGATAATCAATTTACCGATTAACCCCAGAGACGCTCTCTACGGGGGACGTACAGAAAATATCGTTGAATACTACAAGATCAAAACAAATGAATGCATAAAATATGTCGATATATGTTCCCTGTACCCCTTCATCTGTAAATATGGAAAATTTCCGGTGGGTCATCCAAAAAAAATTTACGTAGGTGAAGAATGTGTTACAGCCTCTCTGTCGCAGATGTCAGGACTTATTAAATGCCAGATTCTACCGAACCAGAACTTATATCACCCCGTTTTACCGTCAAAAATGAACAACAAATTGATGTTTGTTAACTGTCAAAAATGTGGTGAAGATTTCGTTCGAGAAGAGTGTCAGCATTCTATTCAAGAAAGAAGCCTAAAAGGAACTTGGGTGATAGAAGAGGTGCTCAAAGCTATTGAAAAAGGTTACCAGATTATAGAGACTTACGAAATATGGGAATACGATACAATTCAGCTCAGTAAAGACCAAGAGGGGTTATTTAGCGGAATGATGAACAAGTTTCTACAAATAAAACAACAAGCTTCAGGATGGCCTAAACATTGCTTAACGGAT